TCTTCTTCTCCTCCTCCTCCTCCTCCTCCTCCTCCTCCTCCCCCTCTTCCTTCATTCTCTCTCTTTCCTAGCATCTTCACGTGAATAAAATGCATGGTCGTTATCACCGTGTCTAGCCTGAAATTTGCCTCAAATACAAGCTATGATGACTGTGTGTTCTATTAGGTGAAGACAGTAGTCCATTTCCACTTCTTCTCGAGTTTGTGAAATCTTGCATTGTGAATTGGGCAGGATTGTAACAGGAAACAGATGAAAAAGTGAAAATAGCAACTTCCTCACTGGAACGATTGGCTTGTTGTTTATTGATCTGTCATTTTCTATTCCAAGGACAGATATGTCTGCCATGCAGAGATGAATGCTATCTTGAATAGGAATCAAGCATCTGCAGACGGTCAGGTAGGGCAGAAATATCACCTCGCCTTTGTCCTCCAGGATGGGTAGGACTTAGCTATGGGACTGGACCCTCAGCATTGCTAAATTCTTCAGATTCAGTTTCTAATCATTTCTACATGTGGTCTTAATATGCATTGGATGGATGATAGAAATGGCAGTCTTATGTTTCGATCAGGGCATACCCACATGATGACTTTCAAAAATGCATCTGACAATAATCTAGTGTGAGTATGCCGTTAGTAACAGGAGTAACAAAATTGCATTACATCTGAAGAATTGACTTCATTGAACTTCAGTTATCGACATCTTGCTCCAAGTTTCATGTATGTTTTTCTCATTCCATGGTCACTCTCTCTCTCTCTCTCTCTCTCTCTCTCTCTCTCTCTCTCTCTCTCTCTCTCTCTCTCTCTCTCTCTCTCTCTCTCTCTTGTGGAAGTCATCAGAATAAGAGATGGTTTGTGTGAGAGTTTGCTCTTCTTGGTATGTGAGTTTGAAAGGTCACATGGAATTCTATTGTCGTTTCCTTCCTGACCACATTATGTTGTCTGCAACTGTGCTGGAGATTTCCATTCCTTGGTAATTTACTCATTTGAAATTTCCTATCCGCTGTTTGACACTTGTCCTGGAGGGAGGAGGTTTGGGGCGGGGCGGGGAGGGAGAAGGTTTGGGGATGAATGGGGGAAGGTTTGGCAGTGGGGCGGGGAAGTTTTGGGGATGGTGGGAACGGAGGTTTGGGGGTGAGAGGTTCTGGGTCTGAACATGTCTCTGGTATTGTCAGCGCCTCTACGTAACAATGTTTCCTTGCAACGAGTGCGCCAAGATCATTATTCAGGTACTTTGCTGTGAAAATCTGAGCCATTATCTGTTCCTTTTGTCAATGGGTCATTCATCTGGGTAGTCTGGGTCCAGTGATCAACCCTACCTTTCATACTGCATCTTTCATGAATGCCTGCCATGGAACACAGGCTTCTTTCCCTTATGCTTCCCAGCTGCCATTTGTAGTCGTTCCTCCCCTTGGCCATGCCTTCACTGAAATCAACTGTCCAAACACTCCTAGCCACCATTCTTTCATGCATGTCACAATCTGAGGTTCCTGTTCCCCACCCCACTTCCCTGTGTGTTTATCGGTTCAAAACTGTGTGTGTGTGTGTGTGTGTGTGTGTGTGTGTGTGTGCGTACAAGGAGATTGGGATGATTGTTTAAATGGGCTGGTGTGGTCCTTGCAGTAATTGAAGAAATGCATGGCTATGTTGCTGCGCGCTCATTGAGTGAGGGTTTGGCGCCCAATTTTTTTGAGTGACGCTCAAACTCTCTGTATGAACGTTGATGAGCGTTATGAGCGCTCCCCCGGCAAGCATTGGACGAGGCACCAGGGGGCGGGAGGGAGGGTTGGGGTGTTGTGGGGGGCGGGGTTAGTCCCGCAGGTCCCCCCTATGCTGTTGCTTTTCCTTTGCACGGAGAAGAGAAAAAGAAAACAGAACCCGGGGTTGAAGAAGAGGGTGGGCTCGTATGGGAGGGGTGCATACCATACTTGCGGCGCATCGACGTGCGCTGCACCGCGCACACACGCCGCACTGCGCACAGCGCACAGCACACGACGTGCGCACACTGGGTGTGGCGCACCCCGAAAATAAGGGGTTGAAAAAAAAAAAAAAAAAGTTGGGGAGGGGTGTTTTAGGCCCGAGTGGGATGTCACGTCATAAACCACAAAAAAATAAAAACAAAAATTTGAGGCCGCACGGGGCCTCCGAAAAAAAAAAAGGGGGGAAGTTAGTTTTTTTGTTTATGTGTGTGTGTGTGTGTGTGTGTGTGTGTGTGTGTGTGTGTGTGTGTGTGAGAGAGAGAGAGAGAGAGAGAGAGAGAGAGAGAGAGAGAGAGCAAAATCAAATGAATCTACCGCTAGAACATGGAAATATACATTGCGCACATGCGCGCAGTGCGCACTGTGCACCCAGATGTGCGGCGCGCTCCGGTGCGCGCGCACCCTGGGTTCGCGCACAGCGCACTGCGCAGCGCGCAGTGCCGGTGCGCCACAAGTATGGTGCATACTCCTCTTTCTTTTTTTTACGCACCCCTCCTCGCTTGTAGCCCCTGGGGGCCTCGCAAACTCCCATCCAGGCACGTTCAATGTTATTGCACCCTGGTGGGAGAAACGCATTTGAACGTGCTTGAGCGCAGCCCACGGGGTTTGAGCGCGCACGCTCAAACATTCAACGCGCTCAAACCATCTGACAGATGCATGGACGTGCATTTGAAAATCTTCTGTGCACTTCACTGCCTGCCAGCATCTGTTGCATACACTGAGGTCAGTTCAACAGAACCAAGGGGCCAAACAGTTGGACTTTTGGACGTAATCATGGTTATTCATCTTTAAAACTCCTACTGTCTTCACCCGAATATAGCGCCCGGTCATTATAGCTGTATTTGGGGCATTTCTCAGTCCAGATGCAGCGATAATGGCCGGGCGCCTGTGTTGTGCATGTCTAGATTGGCCATCCGTGCCCCTGAGTTTATGTCCCTTGACTCCAGAATCCTTAGCAGCTAACATTTGCCCCAGCACCTCAGCCAGTATGGCCAATGTGTACTTGTTGTGGGGCTGTTCCTTTCAGATAGGCTGATCGTGTGCCGCCCCTAGTCCTTTGTTGTACATAACCGCCGAAAGGACCTGAGGGGCACTCAGTCTCGTCGGTCCTCCAATTGGTGCTTCCTTTATCCATCCTTTCTTGCCAAAGATCCTTTGTCATATTTAGGGCCTTCCATGGCCCCCCCTCTGCTCTACCCGGGTGCCATGGGTACCCGCACGAACCCCTACCGTCACTATTTGCAAGGGCATAGTTGCCCCTTCCTCCTCTATAGGAGGCAGGTCCACGACCGCCCTGCGGGGTTCCTTGACCTCTGCCGCCCCAATGGGAGCACCCTACACCCCCATTCCCCTGAATGGCCTGTCCACATCCTCCTCTTCCACAGCCTCCTCTACCTCGGCTGCCTCTTCCGCGCCCTACTGTAACAGCCGCATAGTCACCCCCCTGGGCTACTTAGCTGTCCTCATCTCCTTCTAACCCGAAATCTATTTGTTCGTAAGGGAGTGGCTCTACTCCTCCTTCCTTGAATGTTAGTAAGAAGTGGTCCTTACTCTCGATGGTACCTGAGATAGTCTTATCCTTCCATTTCTTCCCTTTCTGTAAGGCCTTATAGTAGTGGCAGAACTCGGCCTCTTGGAGGAATCCAGCTTGCTCTACAACATCCTTACTAAACTTCTCATAGGTCATGCCTTCCTCTTTGATTTTGGGGTGCAGCTGGGACCTAAGGGGAGTAGGTAACGCCCTAGCGACGTTCTCCAAAATCTGCTTCGCGGTTAGGTGTCACATGTTGAACCTGCACACGGGCCACGTTTCGGGGGCCCCCAGGCCACACGCCATTTTGGCATGCGCCCTGGAGGCCCACGGCCGACCCTTAGAGCCGCAGGGTTTTGTTGAGGTAGCATTTATTTATTTATTTGCTGTTCTATTTTTGTCTGTTTCAGGCGTCGTTTTGGACTTGCAGTTCGTCCGAACAGACTTACGGTCTGTTTGGACAAAGGCGACGTTTTGGGCCTTCTCCATTCGTGTCCAGGCCCTTTCAGGCCAAGTTCGGTTTTGTCCGTTAGTGGACATTCCATGCTGCATCAGCAGGGAGGGCCTGGACGTCCGGTAGGGACCTAGGTAGGCCGTTTTTAGGCCAGGCCCAGGAGCAGGACCTTTTCCTGCGATCTGGACCGTGGATCGGACGGACGATGTCGCGGCCTAGATCACAGGTCGTGGACACAGCTCCCAGGCCCAACACTATTATATCTGGGCCAGCTCCTCGGCAGACACAGTTCGAGTAGCTCACTTCTTGGGCAACACACTGCTGGACCAGCGGAATACAGTGCTGCGTTAGAGGTAGAGGTGTAGGTAGGGAGAGAGAGAGGCGGTGCTCATACCTGCAGCGGCGGAGTACTTACCTGGGCGCCATAGCTGGACTTCTCGCCAGCGTCCTGCAGCACAGAGAGACATGCCGGCGGCAATTGGTACATGGCGGCAGTTACCTGCAGGTGAGACAGCGAGGAGGACAACATCGTCTTCTTCTTATTGCTCTCGCCCTCCATCTCTTCTCTTTCCTCCTTTCTTCTTCTTCTTCTTCCTCGTCTTCTTCTTCTTCTTCTTCTTTCAGAGAGAGAGAGAGAGAGAGAGAGAGAGAGAGAGGTTACAGGCAAAGGTTACATCGGGCCATGAGGCCCAGGACCTGATTCGACATTTTGTGACAGACATTGATTGGACATTCGGTAGGCAGACTATTTTTGGACTTCGCTATCGTGATCTTGGTCTTCTCCCTCATCTCCATCTTCTCTTGCCTCTTCCCCCATGTCCACATCTGTGGTATCTCCCCATGTGCGTGCTCAAGGAGGGATTTTCGTCTGTGTGTGCAGTCCCTCCCCTCTCTCTCACATTGGTGGTGTGTGATGGGGTGTCGTGTCAGTATCTGACCAGTCAGGTCATATCTTTGAGTCTTCCGCGCGCTACGTTGTGCTACTTTCGTATGTATTTGGATGTACATTGCTTGCTGATGCTTTGCTGACGCTGCATTGTCCATTTGAGTGCTTTTCATGACTTTGCGGATCCTTGGCTCCATATACATCGCTCGATCGAGCATGTATCATTAGGCCATGATGGGGGCATTGTAGCAACTCATCCATGGTAGACTTAAGGGCGGACACGGTTCTCCATTGGCGTCTTCCTATTAGGAGTAAGTATTCTGCCCTCCGGGCCTGGTTCTTGTCCTCGAACCTCTCCTTCAAGGCCATAAGGAATGTCCGAATGTTACAGTGTCGGGAGTACGACACCATGGTCTGGCAACCCGCATTTCTCATAGGAGACAAGGCAAAATGTGCAGCATCGCCCCCAAGGCATGAACTCGCCATCAATACTTTATCATAGTGGGGAATCAATTGTGCATACAAGTATCCATGGCCGCTTCCCACTGCACGAAACTTTTGTCCTTTGCTCCCGTATAGGTCCAAGGGAGCTTCACCTTCATTTTCTCTCTCTTCTCCCCTTGAGGCTATCTCACATCCCCCTTTCCGTCTCCTCCTTTCTTGCCACCATCTCCATCATCTCCCCCATCTCCGTCACCAGGACCTCCTCCTCCTCCACCCTTCATCTGGGCTTCCACCTCTGTGAGTTCGCTCACAAGGATATCTTCTAACCTATGTGCGTGGTGAGCAGCTTTCTATTCTATTTGGCGGAGGTTTGCTACGATGTAGTTATTCCACTTACTTTTAAACTCCTCTTGGTGGGCCTCTACAACAACGCGGGTCGCAGCGTTCTCGTGGGCAGAGTGGAGTACTGCTTCTGTGAGGAGGGATAACCGGGCTTGGACATCAACTTCTCCTTCCTGTTTTTCCTTTCAACTTTCGCCGGATCCCTTCTCCCTCCTCTTTCAAGCTCTTTTCTTCATCAAATTCTCTTCTTTTCTGCGCCACCAGCCTCATATGAATGGCACTCTCACGTGCTTGTAGCAGGCGGGGTCTCTCACGAGGGTCTGCAGCCTACAGTTTGCCTCGGAATGCTTCTAATTCCTCTTCAGTTTCATCGGTCGGCCTCTCGTTCAGGAAGCAAAACCTGGCCAGCCACTCGTGGGCCTCTTGTTGTTGCGGGCCGCTCTCTCCTTCGTCTTGCTGGCTTACCCTTCCTCTCTGCTCCTCCTCTTCTTCTAAAACTTCCTCTTCTCCTCCACGATCTTCTTTGCCTCTTTTTTTTTTTTTCTTTTTTTTTTCTTTTTTTTTTT